AATACATTTTTTTATCGTTATATCCTTTTCAAGATTTTTTTTAATTTTGATTTGTATCCTTTTATTTTTCTTTGATACAAATGTGAGAAGAACAGTTGCATATGAAAAATAAAGCACCTCTCGTTTTTTCTCTTGGGTTAATATGGATTTTGTCAGCTGATGAATTGCATGAAAGGTACTTGTGACTGTAACTTGTAAAAGTATACCTTACAGATGTTAGTTGATATGTTGTTGATGCACATACATGCTTTTGTAACTTCATGTTCAGTGTTTTTCAGAATCTATATTCAATGAACGCTGAATCAGGTTCGTAGAGAAAACTTTTAATATAAGTTTCGGAAATAAAAAAAGATCTTGAATTATTTTGATAAATATATACCAACATCTCTCTCTCTCTCTCTCTCTCTCTCTCTCTCTCTCTCTCTCTCTCTCTCTCTCTCTCTCTCATCGAAATCAATCGAAGTTTACCGATGTCTAATCATGCTTCTTTTTCTTTTTCAGAATATAGAAAAAGAGAAAAATCGGCAAGTCTAAAATTATTCTAGTCTGGGAAATAAACCAGTTTTTCGGAATTTTACAAATATGGATACATCAACTAACGTGCAAATAGAGTATTCGAATAGATCAACAGTTTTGAGTTCCGGAAGTCCCAGAGAGAGCGCCATCTCGTGGCTATTCGGGGTCGTTATCAATATATCGGTTGCTCTTGTAACTGTTTCCTCAAGTACCCTGATTCTTCTTGCTGCCAGAAGAAATAGCAAGCTGAGAAACAACATTCATTACAATTTAGTCATATCCCTAGCGACAAGCCACGTTGTGCTTAGTATTTCTCTCTTTTTGCGTGGAATATTGCGTATCAAGAAATATGAATATTGTTCAAACATTAGTTCCTGTATTTTGTGTGCTGTGACTGTTTATCTGCTGTTTGTCGCATTGCAAATGTGTTTTCTACAGGTTTTTTATCAGTTTAAACCGCTACCTTGTACTTGCTGAAAACAGCTTAAATATGTTTTTATGGAATGGTAACCACAGGTATGTTGTTCTTGCAATAAGCTGGGCTGGTGCAGCAATCTATGTAGGGTCCTTTATTTCATTAAGGTACCCTTCTTCAACGTGCGTATTAATTTCTGTATTCGGAGAAAATTCATACATATTTCGCAAAGTGTTTTTCTCCATAAATATGACATGCATGCTTTTCACTGTTTCATTTTACATGTACTTGGGTGCTTTGTTCAAAGTTCAAAAAAGATACCGAGAAATTTCACACAGCGAATCGTCTAATTCTTCAACGAATGTCGTCCAACATTGAATCCTGGATAGAAAAAGAAAAAGAATGCACCAATCACTGAAACTGGTCGGTTTAATAATATCATCATTAGTTATTTCTACGCTGCCTGTCTCAGTGGTAAACTTTGCTGATACCGAATCTCAAGGTGCAAAAACTTTGCAGCCATTGCATATAAACTGGGTTCCGTCTCCAACCCTTTTCTTCTCTATTGTTATGGTATCGAAGAACTTAAAAAGGAAATGAAAATTATGTTAAGGGTTAGAGGGAGGTAAATGAAACCAATCTGAATTTCGAAAAAAAAAAAGCATGATGTATACGATTTCCAATTATTTGAATAAAAGGTTAAAATATTTAAATTAGTTTTTGTTGCCTTCTTATTATTAAAGTGTTTCTACTATGAAATATTGAATAAATATACAAATACTGACTGCACCGTAGTTGAGGGTAACACTGAAAATTTATACACCAAGATAACAATTCAATCGAGGCAGCGCCTCGCCTCGGTTGACAATAGTTTTCTTAAGCTTGGTGTAAACATTTTCAATATTACCCTTCAACAACATGCCGTATTTATTATACAAATATTGCATGTACATGTAGCTGATGTTGACAATGTTTTTCTTGGGGTGAATATCTTCAATGTTACACTCAACTACATGCAATATTTTTTTTATTATACTGAATGTTTTATACAAATACATTTTTAACTGAACCTAATGCGCACATAATTTCTGCGCAATCAACATTTATTAGAATATCATTCGTCGTCAAGCATTGTTGACTGTTACTATGCTAGAGGGCGTGGCTTCATTATTCAGCGGGTAATAGTTTTTTTAACAAATGTTTATCGACAAATCAGATTCAACCAATTTTCATGAAAGTATAATATAAAATTATACTGAATGTTTTATTCAAATAGATACATGTATACTAGTTCATGCACAATGTTGTACTGAACCGTGAGCGCAGCTGAACAGTCAATATTTTTTAGAAAATCATCCGTCGTCTAGCAATGTTGACTGTTGCTACGCCGGAGGGCGTGGTTTCATCTTAAAGAGAGTAAAAGTGTTTTGATACGAATCAGATTCATCAAATTTAAATGAAAGTAACACAAAGTTTTTCCAAGACATAAACTCGCGTTTTTCAAATAGCTAACATTGTCTTTATTGTATTAGAAAGAAAATGCTGCCTTTGTCGCGAGAAAGACAAGATGAGTTAAACGAAAACCCCAATTATATAAACAAAAATAATAATTTCACATAAGATGTTTTTTTTAGTATTTGAATGATTGACAACCATCCATGTAATAGTACAAGATAAGAAACCGAAATAATTTAAATCTGAGAGCCCCATGTTGCAACCACTATTGAAATAACGACCACTATTGAAATAATTATTTCAATAGTGGTTGAGAGTCCATTTCAATAACAAACATAGTATGCAACCACTATTGAAATACGACCACTATTGAAATAATTTTTACAATAGTGGTTGAGAGTACATTTCAGTAACAAACATAGTATGCAACCACTATTGAAATACTACCACTATTGAAATAATTATTTCAATAGTTGTTGAATGGGCATTTTAATAACAAATATAGTATGCACCCACTATTGAAATACAACCACTATTGAAATATTTATTTCAATAGTGGTTGAGAGTGCATTTCAATACCAAACATAGGTTGCAACCACTGTTGAATTAATGTTTACTTTTGAAAGAAATATTTTAATAGTGATTAACATAGAGATTTCAAACGTGATTGAAATATTGATTTCAAAAGTAATTGAAATATTGATTTCAATAGTGCTTTAAAGAATGATTCCAATAGATATTAAAATAATAAATAGTTGCTGACATTGATTTCAATACCAAAACGACATTGCAAGCTCTATAGAAGTATCGCAAATATAAAAACAAATATAAAAATGAATTACATAATCTGTTTTCTAACACAATATGCTAATTTATTGAGTTTAAAATATGATAACTAAATTAATACACAGACACTACATGTATTTATTATACTGACTGACCTATAATTCAAACATGTATGCAAATGTTATATAAGCAAGCTCCTGCTGAATCTGGCCGAATCGGCGAAAACCAACAGACAATTGCAATAAATTATTATATGCAATTTTGAAATAATTTATTATATAAAGTTCATTTTGGTCATTTATATTGAAAGGAAAGAATCATACATACATGTAAAAACATGTAGATGTAGAAATTAGAATATCTAGACTACACTGAAATGAAGGAAGAAGACTGATAATTTTGTGTACAAACTTTCTGATGAAAATATGGATATTTTTAATAAAAAGAATTTAGAATAGAACTAAATTGTCGCTTATATTCATGAGATTACATACACTACAAAAACGGATATTAAAGCCAACTTCTATTCGTCAAGACATTAAATAGCAAAATTTCTGGGTAAGTTAGTATTCATTTAGTTTTATTAAAATGATAGGCGTGATTCAAATGTGGTGGTATGGTGTTTTGAAACGTATTTTCAACTTTTTTTTTAAATAATCATTCAAAAGTAGTCGTAATTTAAATAGTAAACACAATAAATGAATTAAAAATGCTGGAGAATATAAAGAACCATGAATCCTTGTATTTTTCAATAGTTAAGTTATTTCAATAAGTCTTGCCATGTGGTTTAATCAATAATCAGCAACTATCAAAATAATTATCTAAATCACCTTTGAAAGTTTTATTTCAATATTATTGAAAACTTTATTTCAAATGTGAATATTTTTTCAATAGTGGTTGTAACCTATGTTTGGTATTGAATTGAACTCTCATCAACTATTGAACTAATTTCAATAGTGGTCGTATTTCGATAATGGTTGCATACTATTTATGTTATTGAAATGCACTCTCAACCACTATTGAAATAATTATTTCAATAATGGTCGTATTTCAATAGTGGTTGCAACAGCCCCATCGGACCCCTATTCCCATTTTAAAACCCTGAGGATATGGATCACACTTCCCTACAAGTAGGATTTGTTGCCATTTTTATTTATATCTTTATCCATAATTGACAATGTTCGAACCCAACATTCCAATATAGCATACTTCCATGTATATTCAATTAGTATGCATTTCAACCGTTCATGTAATTAACCATTTTTAACCTCCTGAGCCCTCCATCTTATTCATATTCATACATGACACAGAAACAATAGGTTATGTTGCACTCTGACACCACTTTGATTTTATTCATTAACCACTGCATGAAAAGTCGAGTTTAATATAATTTAATAAATTCGTTTACTCCAGTAAATTTCTTGTATTGAATTTAATTTATGTATAACGGTACATTTTACATGAGATATATTGTGATATAATTAAATACAGTTTTCAAATAAGTATAATCATATTTAATGCAAAATACGTCGAGAATAATATAGTTTAATTGAGATAATTATACGTCCCGTTTAAGAATATCGACATGTAAAAGTAAATATGCTTATACTTAAAGTTTAAGTACATTTTTGGTATTTTGAATATGTCATAAATAATTCTTTATACCTAATGTAAACTTATGTTGTAACATTTTTGAAAAAAAATATTTAGGCACCCTATTCATTTTAATTTATTTATTTCTCATTTTTATTTATTTAACCCTTATGTAGATTTTTCAAAACTGTGGAATATAACATAGTTTTTTCTCTATCGACTACAACTGTAGTACAATTACATCGGGATCGAAGTCGGGCTCGAAAAGCAATTTATTTAAAAACAACACACCGCGCCGAAATTCAATTTTTTGGAGAGTTCCACGCAGCCATGTTGAATTTTGATCATGATGTTGTACGGGAGGAAGGGGCGAAAGAGAGTTACTCGAAAAGGAGAAGCATGATAAACTTTGGATGGAATTTATGTTTTAATAGAAGATGAAGACATTTACGACCCTGTTTAGCGGTAGGAACAATGTACAAAATTTTATCATGTGTCCTTGAATGAATAATTGCCTCTGCTACTGATAATGTTACTGTTCCTTAGTCTGGGCTGTACACATAAAATGCCTGGCAGTAAAAACGTTTGGGCAAGCGCTTTTTACATTTTGTAATAATTATTTAACACTTAGGCCTAACCATCTTACTTAAAGATGGATTTTGGGATTGGTTTCAGAATTTTTGTCACTAAAGTGTTCCTCTGTTCAGCATTTACAGAGAGTGTTGTACAATGTAATAAATTATTTATTTATTTCTTAATGCCTACTCAAGAATATATTGAGCACTTATTTTGATTATTTAAATAGTTGCAGTGTGGACTGTGCCTGAGACGATTCCCCATAACGCCGGCTATGTAGACAGCTTGTGAAAATGGTGAGAACCATACCGCTCAAATTTTCTATTATCACAAATAAACAAACAATGTTTTATTAACTTGTATCTTTATGCATAAGAGTATAAAAAATATTGCAACAACTTGAAATGCTATATACCAAGTAGACAATACGAGGTTTATCTTCTTATTTTCCTTATCTTAAAAATACAATAGCAATGGATTTTGAGCTATGCATAATTTTTTTACGTTAAATACGTACGTAAGCATGAATTATTAAAAATAGCTATCACATTCTATCATGTCTATGATGCACAATTATGCATTATTTACAGGAATCCAAATGCTCACAAGAAATGACAAAAGCAGTACGAAGATTAACACAACGGTAAGATTTCTTACATTTTCTGATAAGATCAATAAAATCACATGAATTGATTTATTTTAGCTCACCTGAGCCATTTTAAGACCCGAGCGAGTTTTCTGTTCTGTGTCTGGTATTCGTCGGTCATCTATAAACTTTTCAAATTTTTACATTCATGAGAATTATTCCTAGTTTGAATAAAAATCCCTGCAAGATACATCTTTTCTTTCAGAAATTGTGCCAGAAAAGTTTGAAGTACTTAGCTATGGGAATGATCAACATTGAACTTGCTGAGGCTCTCTTCCTGAAAGTGACTTGACCAGATATTTGGCTACCCAGTATGAGGTACAAACTAATCATTTGTTGTACAACTTATTGTGTATGAGATTTCCAGCATTTACTGGAAGTTTGCATTTGTCGTCCACTTAAAAAACTTGCTATCTACAGCATAAGTTGTTAATATATTTTACTTTATGTTAAATCACTTGTTCATTATCCCAATAACTTGCATGTTAAATGCTGTAGATGCTAACCTTTGCATTTAAGTTTACTCTTAAATTCCATGTGTTCCGAGTATGTACACCCATTTCATATCATGTTTTGTCGTCTCTAAATTTAATATAATACATATCATAATATGTACTAGATCACAAAGTTTGAAGATTTTATTATTGTATGAATGTTATCTACTTGCTCTATATCAAAAATACATCTGTTTATATATTTTTTCTACGAGATGCCATACCTGCTTTTAATTTTTCATATTTTTTTTTATCCATAGTATCTTTCTGCTACATTAAATAAAATATCGTGGAGGAACACGAAGAAAAGGGCTGCGCACCTCAACATATTCAAGGTCAAGCAGGTAAATACATTGGTGAATTGCTAAAAAAAAAAGATGGCAAAAAGTCACCAGTCCCCAATTTACATGTACTTCCACAAATTCTGCATCTTGCTGCTGTGAAACTATATATATGTGTGTCTTAATATGATAAATGCTGTAAATGCTATTCTTTGCATTTTCCTAAACTTTGTAAATCTTCAAATTCCATGTGCTCGGACTAATGTACCATTATGTATGTTTCATATCATATTTTGTCGTCTATAAATTTGATCTTTACATATAATTATATGTTTTTTATGCAATTCACTTAACTAGATGACAGAGAATTTTTTTCATTGTGTAAAATGTTATCTTCTTGCTGTAGTCATGTTAGTCATAAGTATACCCTGTTTGTATATTTTTTCTCCTTTTTGTATATTCTTTCTATGGAGAGCCACACCTGTTATTAATTTTTCATATTTTGTTTATGACAGCTTTTTACCATATCCATAGTATCTTGCTGCTAAATGAAAGAATTAGTGTGGAGGAGCAGAGAAAAGGGCACCTCAACATGTTCAAGGTCAAGCAGGTAAAATGCTCCAAACAAAAAGATGGTGAAAAAAAATCATTAGACCCAAATTTACACGCTTCGAAATCTGTAGCTCGCTGGCCTGCGAAATCTGTAGCTCGCTGGCCTGAAATTATAGATAATTATCTGTCTTTATTACCCAGATTTGAAAAAATGGCATATCTTTTGTAGTCTTCTGTAAATTTTTAATTAAGCAAAATTGAGCTGTGTTTCCTCTAGGTCAAATGATAATTTTAAAATCAACTCAGATTTTGTTTTTACTATTTAATATATATGCAATTGCATAAATCCAGAAGCACACATATAATATGTATATATAGGCAAATGGGTATTTATTTTTATGTTTATTGTAGAAATTAGGAGCTAGGGGTGCTTCTCCAGAGCTGAAAACTTCTTGGCATGAAGAGAAGAAGAAGCAAGAAAAAGCAGTTTTAAATATTGATTACATTTTCATAGTACAAAAAATGATTCTAAAGATAATACTATCTATGAAATTAGAAGCTGAAGTTGCGTTCTGATGAATGTGAGAATGTCTTCAAAGAACAGGACACCAAAAGTGCCATTCTCAAATCAAAGCACTCTAAAAGGCAGAGCATAAGAAGAACTAGGACAAATAAAGAATCTAAAAGAGTCAAACCTATGGATGTATTAATTGAACAGAGATGGGCTATTAGAGATGAAATATCTGAGTTGCTACTGTTTTGCACAAATTAAATTTTAGATAAGAAAAATATACCTAGTGTTGTATTTTTGACAGTGAAAGTTTTTTCTTATGCTTGATTTCAGATTAAAACTGTTATGTATTTTATTGTTTAAACATTTATTGGTCTGCAATCACATACATTTTAATCTTGATTTATATATCACATATATGTACAAGTCTAACTTGAATAATAAGTGCATGGACATTTTTGTGGAAAAAATAAGACAATCATGATCAAGGGTAGTCTGAAAGAGCTTTGCTGGCAGTAAGTTGCAGATCTTGATACCCAAGTAAGAGAAAGGTGGCGTCTCTGACCGATCCTTTTGCTGTTGCTTGTGGGCGAGTGAGGCTTCTCTGTCAGTGGCTTAGTGAGTCATAGATGTAAAAAATAGAATAGGCAAATGAGGTAGAGACATTTATGAGTAAAAAAGGGTTGAATTGTGATTTTAATGAATATTAAAATTGATATTGCAAGGGTAAATAAATGAGAATTGCAAGAGTAAAATATTAATTTGTTTCCTTCCATTTGAAGTAAGAGAGTTTATGAATTATGAGTTATGGAATTGTAATTAAGGCTAAAAAAATTGTTAAATATACTTTTACATATGTTTATACATGACTTGTATATGTGCATGTTTCAGAGCTCATTTTTGATATTTTAAAGCAAAGTTGAACAATATCACTATTGAAATGTTTTGCATTCCAATGTAACGTTGATTTAATGAGGATATGTTATATTACAATCATCAAGCAATAAACCTAGCAGTTGGAACAGAAATGAGCTACATGTATTGTAAACAAATTTAAGCTGCTATTGTTTTGTGTAATTGTGATACTTTTTCCTTATTTTGAATTGACATAACCAAATGATATAAAGGATTTTTTTGGGTCTTGTATTTTTCACAGTCAACATTAAGCATTTTTCAAGTTGAACTTGGATAATAAGTGCATGGAATCTATTGTTGAAATACTTGGGAAACAATATAAGGGTGGTCTAAAAGAGCTTTGCTGGCAGTAAGTTGCAGATCTTGATACCCAAGCAAGAGAAGGTGGTGTCTCTGACCGATCCTTTTGCTGTTGCTTGTGGGCGAGTGAGGCTTCTCTGTTAGTGGCTTAGTGTGTCTTATTAAAATGTACATGTAAAAAGAATGGACAACTTTTATTGGCAACTTTTACTCTTTTTATGCATAGTATGATATAATTTATTGTGGGAAATTGAAAAGCCATTTACAACCCATGCAGAAGTTTTAATAAGGGCAGTTTCAGTCAGATTTTGCAGTCTTTTGGAGTCCAGAATGCCTACATTTTTTACCTGTTGTTTTTTAATTTATTGCGGATTTGAATTTTACATGCAATACTATTCTTATATTATTTATAATTACTTCAGTATATTACTTACTACTAGTATGTAGAAATTTACTCCATTATAATTGAGCTACAATCATGATTGTAAATTTTTTAATTCTGACTTTTAGGCTTACATTTGAAATATTTTGTACTTTGTTAGAACTCATTGTTTGTACACTATTGAGATAACATCTAATAAAATTGAATGAGAAATGGATTTGTGTAAGATTGTAAAATACTATAGTGACCCTTGAATTTTTGCAATAACACTCTAAATATTACATGAAGTATGAAAAAAGTTGTAAAGATTATAACATCTCACACTGGCAGTAATTTGACTAATTTTCCATTAAGACGTTATAATATTAAATGTACTCACCAATAAATACAATAAAAAAACCAACAATATGTCAGGAGAGACATGCAAAACAGATTAAATGTACTCACCATTAAAAACATAGATAACAGATAAAATGTACTCAATAAAACATAGATTTAAGGAATAACTGCCTTACTTTTCGATTTCATTGTGAGATCACTCGATTGGGTTGCGTGATAATTTGCATAAACACCGAAGATTACCACGCAAGCCAATCGATTGATCTTCGTCATGAATCTGAAAAATCTGAGAGTTATTCCTTACATTTACATGCTTTGATTCCGCCAATGCACGTGCTCCAAGCCCTGCTTCTATCTAGCTGTTTGTTCCGCCCTGTACATGTGTTTTTTTTTCGGGGGGGGGGGGGGGGGCGACCGCACCAATACATTGATGGGGAAATAAAGTACATTTACAATTTGTAATTTTATCTCGGACAAAGAGATTGGAAATGTAAATATAACAGATTAAATGTGCTCACCAATAAAAACAAAGATAACAGATAAAATGTACTCACCAATAAAAGCAAAGATAACAGATTGTACTCACCAATAAAAACATAGATAACAACACAATAGGTCAGTAGAGGCATACAGAACAGATTATATGTTAACTGTAATACTTGGTATCGTCCGTACTTTCCTAAGGACCGGAGAATATTGTCCACATCCATTTTGTTACCAAAAAATGCCTAGGATCTAGAATAAATAAACTCGCTTGAAGTGAATTTACAGCAATCCAACAAATAATTCTAAACAAGCGAGTTAATCACTTGTAGAGACGACTATAAAGAGCAGGAAGATGGATAAAATAAACGGATCAGTTGAATAATGTGCCTAGAAGTAGGGAGTGAAAGGTAGTTAATTGACCGATGCTGGAAGGTGGAGAAATTCTCCCCAAGAGTGCGTAAAAATATTGCGACGTAAATTGCAACTTTTTTGCATTACGGGTTCTGTAGTGATATGGTCAAAGACAAATATTGAAAACCATAACGCTACAGATCTGCAGCTATGATGAGGAAGGCTGTCTCTTCTAAATGCATGAATTCCAGGGTCCCAGAGTCAGGAGTTTTCGTGTTAGGGCTGGGTTCAAACGATTATATAGTGAAAATTCATCAATTCAAATTTACCTTTGAGTATCAAGTAACCAAAGTAAGCAAGCAAAATGTATGGTCATGATAAGCAATAGTGCCCCTTCTAAAATTTTGAATTTTATGGCCTTTGATTTAAAACACGAACCAATTCAATTGTTTGAACTTTATTACATGATACTCAGGTGACATCTAAAGCCCGTGGGCCTCTTGTTTTTTATAAGCCCAATAATTTGAATTTTGAAAAAAATATATATATTATAATTTACTATATTTGCACGTGTCGTTAACGGGAAATAACTGGTTTTCAGATAATTGCGATTTTGAGACTGATGTCTGTGGATGGAAGATTCTGGAATCGAAGTATGAAAATAAGGAAATAAGCATATGTGTCAAGGACCCTACCTTTTGCGAAATTTTCAGTTGGAGGAGCACGAGGTGGACTCGACAAAAACAAGAGCAGTTAAAACACTTACCTACATTCAAAGGCAATGTTTCTTGTCTTACTTTTTAGCTGTACTGGTCAGAGACCAGAAGAACCTATATGATAGTAAGGTGTCGGTCGTTCGTCCGTTCGTCTGTCTGTCCGACTGTCTGGATGTCCACTATTCTGTATGTAAACATTTTTTCTCAAAATGCTACTCCTCCTACAGTTTGGTCTGATTTCAATATATCTTAGCACACAAGTACATTGACTACACAAAGATAGTAAGATACATAAATCATCGCATCGGTTTTTAATTTCGATGAACGGTGTTGCCATGGTTACTTAAAATAGAAATTTCTGTGAAATTTCTTTGAAACGCTAATCCTCATACAACTTTTGTCTGAGTCCAATACAATTTAGCACTCAGGGAGAATACTTTATTCTATTTATTTCTGCCTGATAAAAAGTTTCAAATCCATGTGCAACTATGTACAGACTAGTAGAGCTACAATCTCATCAGAGATTTTTTTTATGACATGTATGAAACCAAACTCAGTTTAAGTTAATATGCATATTTCCTTTTTATAGGTTCTAATTTTATTATCCATGTGTAAATTTAGATTAAAGCAATGTGAGCTGCGTATTTTAATATTTTATTCAGGTCTTCAGTTTCCAATGGAAGACCTTCTGCTGATTCTGTTGGTTATGATTGGTAAAGATTATTATTATTTTTAAGGTCTTTCGTTTCCTACGGAAGACCCTCTATTGAATCTGATTATTCCCTATTACTCTTTTTTCCCCAGACGCCAACTTTGAGACATAACATACTCATTTCGGAGTTTTTAGACTTTACAAAACAATTAAAATTCCAAAAGTTACCCCCTTTCGTTGTTTACATGTACGGGAAGAGAAATTTTTAATCAGTAAGCTATCTTATTTAATACTTAAACCTTGTTTTTTTTTTAAAAAAAGGTTAGCTTCAATTGTCAAATTTTATTGACTTACTCTGTTAATCATTTAATACAAAAATGTAGTCATCTTTTTACGGAATCCCGTCTGTGCCACGTACGAGAAATATTTTATCTGGCGGCCGCCACTTGATATTTGCCTGCCGCCACATGATTTATCTAGCGGCCGCCACATAATTTATATGGCGGTCGCCACATAAATTATTTTGCAAAAGGTGAGTGTTATTGGGTTAAGTAGATGGATGTTGACACAGCCGCTTATTGATAAAAAAGTTTATGATAAAAAACGAATTCTGAAAAATTGGAACACCATTGTTAGAAATCCAAAATGCAAAACTTTATTTAATTCTCAACCAATCATAGCTTACAGCAAACAAAAGAATATAGGTGACGAGATAACCCGGTCTCACCTTAAATTAACACCATGATTTATGTCTGTGACCCCTGATGAGGCTTCTTAATAACCAAAACACTCTACAAATACTTGCATAATTCAAATCAAATATTAATCTGTTCTATGCAAAAACATATCTACTAGGAGTGAGGACTTGAGTGTTGGTTTATAATAAATCTCTTACAAGTTTGGTTGATTGATATCGCTATTATAATTAAACACTGTATCCACCTCTGAAATAACACGTAAAAACATATGCATGCGCGCGCATCAGGAAGCCAGGCGTTATCAGGCGGACGCCTTTAAAATTATGTGGCGGCCGCCAAATATGTAAGTGGCAGCCGCCGGATAAATATTTGGAGGCCGCCAGATAAATATGTGGCGGCCGCCAAATAAGTGGCGACCGCCTCATAATCATCTGGCGGCCGCCAGATATATAAGTGACGGCCGCCAGATAAAATATTTTTCGTACGTGGCAACAACGGGCTTCCGTATCTTTTTGGTATAAATAAAATAAAAAAAATTAAAGACCTTAAACTGAAAAACTATGAATTATCTAAGCCTTGAAAATTGTGTATTTTTCAATTGCATTTTTTTGTGAAAGAGCCTGTCGTATAATTTTGTTAAAGAATTTTCTTTAAGTAGCTGATAACAAAAATAATCTTCATAATTTTTTGTAGAATTTTTTGTACGATCAGTGTTGATTTAAGGTAGGACACAATAGATAGGCCAATTTTTTTTTCTCAAATTCAATGTTTCTGAAACTTTGATATTTTGTTCTAGGATAAAAAAATCGCTCTGTATAAATAATATGAAAGAAATTCA